CACTGTAGTGATACAGTAGAAAAAAATGAAAATATTAAGTAGAAAATAAAGTTTAAGATTTTCTTTCAAATTCCCAAATATGTTAATGAAGATTCTGATTATTACGTATTAAATTAATCATTTCAGAATTGTTGAAATATCTTGACAAGATTTATCACGACAGATTCTGATACAAAACTTGTGGAAAATCTGCAGCATTGCCTTCCGTTCAGAATCCTGACAGATTTCGATAAATCTGCACAAGTTCTTGAAAGATCTGGGACGAAACTTGAGAAATCTTTAAAGATTTATCAAGATCTGCATTCAAGATTTTTCTCCTGGGATACCTTGTTCAGGAGATGTTTTAAAACTCCCATCCAACCACATGTTGATCAACATTAAGAGTTTCTAAAAATTTAAAAGAAAGGCGTGGAGTTCGGAAAACACTCACAGAACACTTCTTCAATCATGTTTTCTCTCACAATGAAAATTTGTGTGTTTTCTAAATATATAGTATTCGATAGCCCTTCAAATTTCGTACAAACTGAACCGATACAATATCTTATCAGATGCGTCCAGCCATCAATGATATACCAAAGATGCGTTTGGCTGTTATATATACAGTGCAGTGAGTCATAATCAAAAGAACTCCTTTGTTCTTGATTTCTCAGTAAGAGCTGGAACCAATCTAAATATTGATTTGAATAAATCGAAGATTTTTCTATCTGTTGAGGTATATACCACTATTTTATTAGAAAACTTAGTACTAGGGTTTCGAGGAAAACCAAGTATTTGGTGTTTGGTCGCACATTCTTGCAAAACCGTACAGTCCTGTAGAGCAACCAATTCTGAGCAAGATAATATATCTTCAAGATGTCTACGACGCTTTTTAAATGAGCTGCAAAATATTTACAAAAGAAGAAAAGCTCGAAATTTTCCGGAAAAAAAGTCAAAGTATTGGGTTGGAAAAGCGCAATGCTCAATGACGATCTCAGATCTTTGTCAGATCAATTCCATTGTGTGGAGCGTGTGTGAGAAGTTCTTAGTCCTAGTATACCCTTACTTCTTGGTACGACTTTTTTTTCAACTTACTATTTTGGTTGTTTTCGTTCAACCAAAATTTTGAGCTTTTCGTCTTTTGTAAATCTACTCCAGTTCGTTGACCAAGCGCCGTAGACATCTTAGAGATATCGTACCTTGCTCATCATTATTATATATGTTTGATGATTGGACGCACCTGACAATATATTCTACCAGTTCAGCTTGTGCAGAATTTCAAGAGCTATCAAATACTTTATTTTTAGAAAACATATAATTTTCCATTGTGAGAGAAAACATGATTGAAGAAGTGTTCTGCACGTGTTCTCCGTACTCCACGCCTCTGTATTTAACTAGAAACTTTATTTGAATCTATTTCAGGAATAATGAAACGACGCACAAAATAATTACTTTTTATCAATAAAACAAAAAAAGTAATTATATGATGATGAGATGTTTTAACACTATTTAAAATGTGTTCTTAACTGTTCATCGCAGAAATGACTCTTATTCAGCGAACGGTTTTGAAACAGTACTATGAAACGTTAAAATGTGCAATTCGTTCATTAAACTTATTTGAATCAAAATCTGGTGCATCTACGAACGAACATGAGCGAAAGAATGAATTAATTTCAACACGATTATTTATTATTCTCCTCATCATCTCATTTCTAATACTCTGTGTCTATTCTTCGTTGATTATTGTTCAAAAAACAGTCACCATTTCATCACCATCATTGAATCAATATCGAAAACTAGAGAAAAAATATTCACAAACTTTGAGTTGTGCATGCTCTAATATTTCAATTTCTTATTCTAAATTTGTGAGTATTACGCCAAGATACAATGAAGTGTGTCAAAGCAAATTTATTTCTACTGATTGGATTGATTTTATTAAACTTCCACAAGTTTCTTCGAGGTTTGAAATGAGTGATTTGTATGATTTGTATGGTTTGCCAGCGCCCAGATCTGCTTTTGGTTTCTTAGTTAGTTATTACTTCAAAATGTTAGCGATATTATGTACACTCGCTAATGAAACAATATATAACGCATTGAATGAGGCTGGTGCCACTCAGTTAATCACTTTAACTGTTCAGACGGAATACAATATTGAAACTGAATCACAAGCATTTGTTAAAGATGTTAAATCTGCAACGGAAACATCATTCGCAACTTCGCTCGATATCACTCGTAATGTTGCTCAAAGTAATCAGCTCGCATCTGCTTTACAAACAAATTATCGTTATGGTTTTTTCGAAGATCTCAGGTTTATTCCCGATACAATCACACATATTCGTCGAGATGAACTGGACCATGTTACCTCCAATAACTTCTATAACGTGTGTAATTGTGAGAGCACTGTAGGATGTTATACAGACATTCTTGATCAATATGATGTACCGGGTTTCTACTTGGGCTGTTCCATACTTGAATCCTTACTTCTCTCAGATCTTCGTTGTTTATACGATGAAACTTGTCTCGATGATTTTCAAATGCAATTGAGGAACGTTTCAGACAATATCACGGTGCTGAAGAGTTCCACAGCAAGTAAATTTTCGCCCAATACAACTGTTGGAAACCTTGTAAGAAATCTGATGGCTGAAAATTGGAAGAAAAATATATCATTTAAGTTATATTATGAACAGTGCGCACCTTCTTATTGTGTATATACATATCGTCAGAAATTTGATGTACTATACATTGTGACAACTATTATCGCGCTAATCGGTGGTCTGACAAAAGGATTGCAGATTATTATACCTCGTGTAGTCAATCTCCTAAAAAGAAAAAGAAAAACTAAGGTGTTACCCTTCACTTCCTCTGGTAAGTCCACTATGAAAAGAACAGAAAGAAAATATACAGCTGGCTTAAGGAGGCTAACTGAACTCACAGGAAACTGACATCACCAATTAAAAGTAGCAGCCTTCAAAAGAGCAGTCGATCACAAAGTAGCGTATGAGAGAAAAAGATAAGATTTATGGTTCTTAATAGCCTATCCATCTCCACTACTCACTTCCTTTATGGTGAAACTACTCGAATAGTTGATTGAAATAGAAGTGAGGCATTGGTTTAAATATAAGTAATCTTTGTTTAAGCTGTGTCATCCATTCGTGAAAGATTAACAAAAGCGTTTGAGGATCTGAAGGTTGACATTCAAACACTAAATTTATTTCCTTCGAACCCACAATCGACTGATCAAAATGAGCTCGAAACCGAGCATATATCAACGCACTTATTTTGTATTCTATTTACCGTATCTTTTTTCATCATCATCGCTTATTCATTATTAGTAACTAATACCAAGACTGAAATCGTCATGTCTGCTTCTCTGACTACCTATCGACAACTATATGACAAATATCCAAAAACATTGACTTGCTCTTGTACAGACGTCTCGATTTCCTACCGTCAATTTATTAACATACAACCGATCTATCATCATGTCTGCAGTAGTGATTTTGTAACACAAGATTGGTTTGATATACTTGAACCGTATTTTGATATTCTCAATATGCCTGATCTATCACGATACGGTTCACCTATATTTCAAGCATTAGCCTCAATGTGTACGGTATCCAATGGTACTGTTCAAAATGCTCTCGGTACTTTTGGATCTACTAACTATGTCAATAATGAAGTACAGTCGCCAGAATTATTTCAAACACAAATAGATTCAATTACGTCTAGGTTCAAGTCAAATACAGTAAACTCATTTACATTATCATTGAATATGATATCGAAAATTATGCGTAGTAATGCCTTATGGTCAGGATTACAGACAAACTTTAACGCGTCGTTCCGTACTATGAATGATAATTCACTAGTATATTTTCCAACTGTATATAATGGTAACTGTAGCTGTAGTCTGAGATCAGATTGTCGACAAGAACTTGGTATTCTTCAGTTACATTTTATTGGTCTTAGTCTTTCGAATATAACGTATACAACACTAATCCCTATTCCAAATATTTATGTTGGTTGTACTATAATTGATGGCTTGATGGAATCAAATCTGCAAGCATTTTACAATGCGTCATGGGTGTATGATTTATGGTACTACTTTAACAATAGTCGAAATAGTAAGATAAATTAATTTAAATTTACTTTAACACACTTCATACAGTCACTCTTTTTAGCATACCAAGTTCCTTTGAAGGCCATTAATGCTCTTGATTCGAGCAAACTTTATCGGTTTGAGATGAATTCAACGGTGAAAAGTATAGTCGAACAGTTGATGATTGAACAATGGATAACTAATGTATCTTATCAGCGATATTATGAAAGTTGCTCTCCTTCAACTTGCACTTACTCGTATATTGAACGGTTTAATATATTGTTTATTGTCACAACGATAGTGGCATTGTTCGGTGGATTATCCAAGGCATTAGGAATTATCATACCGTTGATTGTGAGAGCAATCAGAAGATGTAAAGGAAGTAGAATGAATATTGTACAATTATTGAATCGTAAGATGAAAGAATATTTAGTATAACATTACTACATTTTAGCTACATTTATAGGTGGACAATTAATGGTAATGTATCGGAAAATAAAGGAAAATGTTCACACATTTAACTTGTTTAATTCAAATGGAATGAAACAAAAAAATATCGAAGATGAAATCAGAGCTACTCGTATATTCATTCTTCTATTTGCTGGATCTCTGCTTGTACTAGCTCTTTACTCATCATTACGAATAACCACTATAACAAAATCTATTTTTTCACCAACAGTAGCTCAATTCACTGAGCTCAACATGAAATATCGTGACACACTTCAATGTCCATGTTCTAATCTCTCAATTGAGTATGCTCAGTTTATCACAATATCTCCAGTGTTTCATCAACTTTGTCAGAGTCAATTGATTTCCGATACTTGGATACAATATCTCAAATTAATGCAATACACAACAAACAATACACAAGATTTTCGATACACTGGCGGTTTCACCTTTCAGGCTCTAGCAACACTTTGTTCACTAACCAATGAAACAATTCAAAATGCTTTAGGTGTCTTCAATTCAACTCAATTTATTACTGCTATAGTACGTTCACAAAGTTCTTTCGCAGTAGAAGCTCAATCATTCATTCAACAATTTATTCAAACGACCACCAACTCTTTTCTCATATCAATACGTTTGATTTCGGAGATAACACAGGGCAATGTTCTCATGTCTGCTCTCACCAACAATTCCGTTGAATTCACTGATGTCACGACTAGTTTCCCAGGATCTATCTTACAAACAATGTTATTCTCAAACTGTTCTTGCCTCGAAACAACGAAATGCATTGCTCCCTCAGCTATTTTCACTAATAATTCTACCATTGGGTTTATTATTCCTGATATTTACATTGGCTGTTTCATCATTGACTCCCTACTAAAATCGAATATGCATTGTTTCTATGACCAACAATGTGTCAATCAACTATTATATTATCTCAACTCTTCTTCTTCGATCATAGTTCCACTCGATGCATCTATTCCTAGTAAATATTGTCCGACGACAACCATCGAGCAGTTGTTAAATAATTTAATGGTAGAGAGCTGGGAAAATTTTAGCTCGTATACCGCGTATTTTGCAGCATGCCGTCCGATTACGTGTTCGTATTCTCACACACAAGGATTTACTCCCGTTTTTATAGTAACAAACACTCTCGGTCTCGCTGGTGGATTGATCAAAATACTACAGATTATCGTTCCGAGAGCAGTAATACTCACAAAGTTTTTATTAGAACGATGTAATTTAAAACGATTGACGAAAAGAAATTACGAAATTAGACCGCGTACTGAATCAAGTTTAACAGAAGTCGAAGTGTTTTGAATACGTCTTTTGATCAAAACTAAATAAAACAATTATATACTAGAGAAAAATCAAAGTTTAGCAGAAGTTTGTGAAATTTTTTTTTCGTAGGCGCCGTATTAATTTATTAATTAAGCACTACACCATTTCGATATGATGACATATCTTCACCAGTGGTTAAGCAATTTAAAAAACTGGTACCAAACCGATCTGATACAAACATGTCTAAAACCTTTGATCATTAAGCATACGTAAGCTAAAAATTCAAAATACATTCAAAGTACAACAATTATGCAAATATCACACAAAAAGCAATATTTACTACTTATACTGTTCTCCTTCATGCTTTCTCAACTTGTATCTGATATTTGCTGCCTCGTCTTTACTTTGCACTATCTCCTTTTTTTACTCAATGTTTTTCCTTCCTTTTAAGTTTGAACAGGGATGCAGCAAGACATCAGCAATTTAAAATTTGAATGCAGAAAATGATTCGTATTTTTAAGAACTACTGGCATTGATCAGCGTATCTAATTAAGGCCAGGAAAACTGCAAGGTGCTGTATATTTCTTAGCAGATACGATGAGATTCGCGTACAGAAAAATGAATAGTGGTCGTGGTCAAAAAGCCCTTATCTAACCGAAATATTGGCATAAGTTCGAGCGTATACCAAAAAACGTTTAAAGTCCGAATTCTGTAGACTCGCCATCAATGATCGCAATCTTCCACTGCTGTTCATTAACATCATATACTTTTCAGAAAACTAAAATTCCAACTCGCAACCTTGATTCCTGTGTTTCGAATTTGTGAGAACGTTAATTTTAATTTCTCCGAGGAGAAAGGATGCCTCCGGTTAATGTTTTTCAACCAATCCACTTGGTATTACAGATTATCGTTGTGCTCGATAAGACCGACCTCCGGTAGATGGTTCGAGCGTAAGGCCCCTTATGTCGACGAGCTAAGATCTAAATACAATTTTTGAACTCGTCACAGAATTTTCTACATTTTTTGATAAATATCACCATCCAAACGATAGAAGTCATCTTTACTTTTATTATAATTATTACTGAGTTTTAGTATCAACTCTTAACGAAAGGAAGGAACAAGTGAAGAACAAGCGTTTGTTCGGTAAAGAGTTGCGCGAAACTTAGAAAAAGACCAAGAGAAACGGCATTGCCATGATTATTTCCTTCTCCAGTGAAGTTATCATATCATATATATATTAAACAACTTCCTGCATTTTCTTTCAAAAGCTCTCTCAGTTTACCTTCACGCCTCTGTATTTAACTAGAAACTTTGTTTGAATCTATTTCAGGAATAATGAAACGACGCACAAAATAATTACTTTTTATCAATAAAACAAAAAAAGTAATTATATG